ACTCTTGTGATCTTGTTAGCGAGGTTCCATACTGGTGTTGACACTTACTGTGATCTCATATGAACGGTGTATGGTGTTCTACCTCATGATTAGGTCATAATACCATAATACCATAATATCATAATACCATGATTATGGTATTCTCATGGTCTCATGATTAGTGTACGATATTTTCCTTGTCTATCAGTCTCACGTGAATGTTGTACCATATTTTCCCTATTTAGGTTGCTATAATCTGTTGTGATACATGTCAACATTGCACATGCCGCTGGTGTGGTTTATGTGTAACTCCAGTGATAGGTTTGTTGTAATATCCGTCCCTGAATCCATTGATTTCTATAATTCAACTATTAACTTTTCTCTCAAGTGGAATTGTTCTTCTGGTCTAGTTCCTCTTTCCTGCCATCACCATTAACTAGTGTATGTTAAGACTGATCATCAGCAGCCACTAAATGGTCGTCTCCTGCAGCTTGTTCAAGTCATCTTTGTGTTTTGCTGTCATCATGTCCTTCTTCGCCTCATAGAGTTCACCTCACTTGCAACAAGAAATGCGGATCCCATCCCGGTGCTGCATATTCTTGTATTGGTCTCTAGACTTTTTTTAAATACTCCTCATTATGGTTTTAAATGGCGTTCTTGTGTATACCAACTTGGTGTACAAGTAGTAGTAGTAGTAGGCATCCATCAGTCTCCGGAGACTATGGTGTCACGCTCTGGTTGTCGGTCTGGAGTGACCTCTCCATGGCGCAAAGCCAGGGTAGGTTGATACTGGGGAGAAGCTGTCACCCATGCAGCGGGTCCCCCCTCTCCACAGCGCCGGAAGTCTCCAATGGAAAGGCAAACGTCAATACGATTGGTTCCAGCGCCGTCGCAGGAACTGTCAGAACGAGGTTGAAGGCAACAACGAGGCTCCAGCTCCGGAGGTTACCTCGAACTTGGTAAAAGAAGACACAGGGACTCCAGACCCGGAGACCGCCGTGGTCGGGGCCGGAGAAGAACCACCCCAGCCTCCTGAAGCAGAGCCTGGGGGGCCGCACGAGCCCCAGGAGGTGGACGGCCCGGTCCCGCACCTACGGGTTCCTGACAGATCGTCACAGCCCTCTTTCACCCGACGGCGGCTTGGTGTACAAGTGTGGGCGTGTATACCAGCTTGGTGTGCAAGTGTGGGCGTGTATACCAGCTTGGTGTGCATGTGTGGGCGTGTATACCAGCTTGGTGTGCATGTGTGGGCGTGTATACCAGCTTGGTGTACAAGTGTGGGCGTGTATACCAGCTTGGTGTACAAGTGTGGGCGTGTATACCAGCTTGGTGTGCATGTGTGGGCGTGTATACCAGCTTGGTGTGCATGTGTGGGCGTGTATACCAGCTTGGTGTGCATGTGTGGGCGTGTATACCAGCTTGGTGTACAAGTGTGGGCGTGTATACCAGCTTGGTGTACATGTGTGGGCGTGTATACCAGCTTGGTGTGCATGTGTGGGCGTGTATACCAGCTTGGTGTACAAGTGTGGGCGTGTATACCAGCTTGGTGTGCATGTGTGGGCGTGTATACCAGCTTGGTGTACAAGTGTGGGCGTGTATACCAGCTTGGTGTACAAGTGTGGGCGTGTATACCAGCTTGGTGTACAAGTGTGGGCGTGTATACCAGCTTGGTGTGCATGTGTGGGCGTGTATACCAGCTTGGTGTACAAGTGTGGGCGTGTATACCAGCTTGGTGTGCAAGTGTGGGCGTGTATACCAGCTTGGTGTACATGTGTGGGCGTGTATACCAGCTTGGTGTACAAGTGTGGGCGTGTATACCAGCTTGGTGTACAAGTGTGGGCGTGTATACCAGCTTGGTGTACAAGTGTGGGCGTGTATACCAGCTTGGTGTACAAGTGTGGGCGTGTATACCAGCTTGGTGTACAAGTGTGGGCGTGTATACCAGCTTGGTGTACATGTGTGGGCGTGTATACCAGCTTGGTGTACATGTGTGGGCGTGTATACCAGCTTGGTGTACAAATGTGGGCGTGTATACCAGCTTGGTGTACATGTGTGGGCGTGTTTATACAGATATTGGTGCAGGGTTGAGCTACAGCTCCTACGCCCCTGTATTCCCAACATTTTGTAGTTCAGTGCAGTGACTCAGTCCTCACGTTTTCACATCAATTTTACTTTTAATATTTTGATTCGACGAGCATCGGCCACATGTTCCCCTAACTGCACTCACTTAGTTACAACATTATTACTGAAGAAATTCTTTCTGACTTCTCTGGCTCATTTATTTTTTGGTGAGAAATTTCCAAATATTGCCGTTTTCTACGCATCAGCCTCGATTAGTTAGAAGGGTTGCTTGTGCTCGTACGTTTGTGGTTAGACAAAACTGTCGTACTTTTAACGGAGTGGCAGATCGAAAGAACGGGCTGGGGTATCGATAGACGGAGAGAAGTGAAGACAATTCCGCATGTACATGTTAAGAAAAGTTTACGATGTGAGTAAGACAGGTAGTAAGAGTTGGAGTAAGTGTCCAGAGTGCTCTTGAGGTTATCTTGAGATGATTTCGGGGCTTTAGTGTCCCCGCGGCCCGGTCCTCGACCAGGCCTCCACCCCCAGGAAGCAGCCCGTGACAGCTGACTAACACCCAGGTACCTATTTTACTGCTAGGTAACAGGGGCATAGAGTGAAAGAAACTCTGCCCAATGTTTCTCGCCGGCGCCTGGGATCGAACCCAGGACCACAGGATCACAAGTCCAGCGTGCTGTCCGCTCGGCCGACCGGCTCCCCAAAGCTGGAGCTGGAGCTGCCCCTTCTCTTACCTTACCACCCCTCTCAAAACCTCACCAGGAACATGCAGAGTAGCAATAGTTTAGGGCCACTTTTAATGATAGAAGTTTTAAGGGAGACAGCGTTTAACGAGCCTCACTGGAATTATTACACCAACCTATCGTGCCGATGCCATAGAAAACGTGGTGAGTCGTTTGTGAGTCACTACTTTTCACAGTAGGTTGAATTTAGTACGATGGTTACCTTAACGCTCATAAAGCGACCTATCAGTTAAGAGGACGGGTTGAAGGGCTGTTAGTCGTGCTTGGCGAGTATATAGTGACGTGAGCTAGAGTCCTGCACGGTGAAGGTATAAGTATTATTTTTTTAGGCGAGATTTTGCCCCTTATTTTATATTGCTATGTTACCGGGCCTCCAGAACAGTGATCCGGTACGGTATAACTGTCCTGCCCTGTAGTGGAGTGGTCCAGTGCCATGTGGAGTGGTCCAGTGCCATGTGGAGTGGTCCAGTGCCATGTGGAGTGGTCCAGTGCCATGTGGAGTGGTCCAGTGCCATGTGGAGTGGTCCAGTGCCATGTTGAGTGGTCCAGTGCCATGTGGAGTGGTCCAGTGCCATGTGGAGTGGTCCAGTGCCATGTGGAGTGGTTCATTGCCATGTGGAGTGGTCCAGTGCCATGTGGAGTGGTTCATTGCCATGTGGAGTGGTCCAGTGGAGGGACTTACCTGAACATGCACGACAATGGTGCCTTATGGTACATTACTAAGGTGGACATGGTTTTGAATATAAATATATTTGTTTATGACTTAGCTGAGATAAGTTTTAAAGTTTTAATATTACTTATTGGGGGAAAAAAATAAGCTCACCACAGCGCTAGTGAACTATTTTGGTTCAGTGATGTGTTTTGAGATTGTCTGGAGAGGTAAATCCCTTTGTTCTGTGTGGAAAGAGAGATTAAGGCGATTACTGTCATTAATGTGATTATTTGTTCCAATAGGCTTGTTAGTGCTGTTCTGAAAGTTTTCATATATTTGAGTAATTCAGTAATAGGCATTTGAGTAATTCAGTAATAGTAACCATTCAGTAATAGGCATTACTGAATGGTTATGGACGAGGGTGGCATTCTTAATATAGTTCGCGACTCTTATTAATATATTATATGTTACTTAATATATTATATATTACTGATGTCACTGATTACAGTAGAATACAACTCACTGTATCTGTATGATGCGGTGACCTTTTTTAGACGAGTGGAAGATAATAATATCGTAGTTGACTAGCGAATATTTATTCCGTTAAATTAATTATATTACATTAATGTTTACATTCTTGTTGGCAGACATAGTGTTAGAAAGTTGAATTATCTTGTGTGTTTTAACTGATCCTTCTCGTCTACCTTAGTGTGGCAGCCAGCTGAGGTGTTATCACAGACTCAACACACAAAACATTTACACATTGTCGTGGGGTAAGAAGAAAAAAGTGGAGTCCCTAAATGGTTATTGATCATAAGTAGGGACGATGAATGTACACATGTGATGAATGTACACATGTGATGGATGTACACATGTGATGAATGTACACATGTGATGAATGTACACATGTGATGAATGTACACGTGTGATGAATGTACACGTGTGACTTAGACCGTGCTGGAAAATTATTTCAAATAAGTATAATCTCCCGCTTGTGTAGGAACGACGAGGTTTAAGTCAGTTTCATTAATGTTAAAGGGGCATAGAGATCCATCTGCTCGCTAAGTATGTGTTAGTAGAAGCACAGTCATCATACTGGGAAAGCTGGACTGTTGCTATTAGCTCTGTGATTCTCAACTTCAAATAGCCAATTCATGAATATATTATTCGACTGCCAATCTCATCCTTTGGCTTCTATCTGGCGATGTCCCTGGGACCGGCGTGAAGATGACTGGCACCTACGCCACACTTCATGTAAATAAACAAGGCAGTTCTGTTATCTACAGCTGAGAGCTCACAGAAGTACTAACATAATTACAGTAGTAATTATGTGCCCTAAAAGCTAAAGCAGCGTAAGAAGCCAAGATGTGTTTTGGATTAAATGCAGTTTAGCCGAGTCTTCCGCGGAACATGAAAACGAGTCTTTGATGTGGAAATCTTTGCACTGATACATAATGTTTTGAAACTCCTTGAGGCTTTTCGCTTTAAACACTTGTGTCATGATCAGTTAATAATAATACATCCTAATAGGAAAATAAAATTTAAAATCGGGATATAAATATATATATATTGCCAATCATGAATATAAACACAACAATCTCTGATTGACTAGAACAGTCAAGTATATAAAAATAGAGCTAACAGTAAATAACGTGTTTTGAGTGGCAGGAACATATCACGGATCATAAAGTAGGGTTGGGAGCAGGCTCTAGCGACCCGGCGCCCCGTACACGTCCTTGGGCAGGGTGACAACATTAACGTGACCCAAGCCGTCTCCAAGGTGGGACACGCCGCCGTCTAAGAACAGGCTGTTGCTGCCGAGGCCGCCACCAATGTTTCCTACACCAAAGCTGCCGACGGTGCCGAAGGAGCCGATATCACCGCCAAGGCCCCCTAGGCCGATTCCGCCGCCGATTCCGCCGCCGATTCCACCGCCGATTCCACCGCCAATTCCGCCGCCAATTCCACCGCCGATTCCACCGCCAATGCCAATATCGCCAACACCGCCAATGCCATCGTCGCCAATTCCACCAACACCAACGTCGCCAATGATCTCGCCACCAGCTTGCACCGCGGAGTTGAGAGCCGTCTGAAGGTCGATGCCACCGGGAAGAATAGCGTTCTTGTCGTCGTCGTAGTTGACGAAGTATACTTGAGGGTTCCTTGGTGGGATGGGAGGTACCTCGATGACCTTCTGCGCATGCTCCACTTGCTTGTTGAGGACGTACACAATGTTGTCCTGCCTTGGTGGGGGCACAATGATGGGGTCGGGCTGCTTCACTGGTTCAGGAGCCCGGATGAAGAGCACGTTGGTGTCCACCTTGGGGGGAGGGATGGGGGGAGGGGGGCCGTACACGGGAATAACTTCGGGAGCGGCGTAGATGTACACGTGGCGAGTCACTTTAGGGAAATCGCACACGCCATCGATCCTAAGAACTTTTCCTTCCGTGCAGACTCCGGCACCTAGGCCGCCTCCAATACCAAGGCCGCCTCCAATACCAAGGCCGCCTCCAATACCTAGACCTCCTCCAACACCTAGGCCTCCTTCAACTTCTAGGTCTCCACCTAGGCCTCCATCAAGGCCTCCACCTAGGCCTCCAAGACCTCCACCTATGCCTCCAAGACCTCCACCTAGGCCTCCACCAAGACCTCCACCTAGGCCTCCACCTAGGCCTCCACCTAGGCCTCCAAAACCTCCACCTAGGCCTCCAAAACCTCCACCTAGGCCTCCTCCACCTAGGCCTCCTCCACCTAGGCTTCCTCCAAAACCTAGGCCTCCTCCATGACCAAGGCCTCCTCCAAGACCTATGCCTCCACCTAGGCCTCCTCCATGACCAATGCCTCCTCCAAGACCTATGCCTCCACCTAGGCCTCCTCCAAAACCTCCGCCTAGGCCTCCTCCAAGGCCTATGCCTCCATGACCTAGGCCTCCTCCTCCACCTAAGCTATAACCGCCACAGCTCACCCCAGCTATGCACGCGACGAGGAGAATCTGAAAAAAATATGAAAAATGCTGTAATAAATGTATTCAAGAATTTAAGTTACTTCTACTCATGATGAAACATAAATAACTTTTAATTTCAAAGGATTCCACAAGTAAAATTTACATCTACATATGAATCGTTAGTTCTTAAAACCAACTTGTCTATGCTCGGCGAAGTAAATAAATGTTTGACTTTTCTCGTTGTCTCACGTTACCTAATAGTCTAAAGCTTTTAAACCTAACCATTCTTTGCACCGAAAGGGAGGCGGAAAGCCGATCTCTCTCTAAGAAGCACAACATTGACTTTATCTTTAAGGCCATATCCGACCTGGTCACCAAGGATACAGCTCCAGGTATACGTGTAAGACCCGTGCAGGCTACTAGCTAAGGCTACTAGGGAAGGCTACTAGCCCAGGCTACTCTACCCGCAAGACACTTACTAGTAGGAAAGCTGTGTTATCACTGGCATAACACAGCTTTCTACACCCTACTACAAGACTACACTTTAGGACCAGCAGTAAGCTTAAGACCTCACACGACACAACATGACGTTTTAGCCGAAAGAACATCGTTGCATTGATTTTAATATTCTGCGTCTAGACTAGACACACACATTGATAGGGTAGTACGTTATATAGCCATTGCGCTATTAAAATGAGTGTTCACTGTTAGACTCTATAAAGCTGTGTATCCAACAGATCCACCGGGCTTATACCAACGGGATGAAGCCCACTTAGTCTGTCACTTATTCTTTGGCCAGACAAAATGCTTCTGAATCCTTCACCGTACAATGGTATTGTTCTATGGGGAATATAAACAGGAATGATTGTTCACAATTGCATACATCACGTCATGCACTTGAAGGCATATTTAAATGGTATTATGAATGTTCATTATGAACATTAATTCAACGTGCATGAAGCGTGGATTGAAATGCTAGGCATGCACGCTCCAGAGCCGAAGGGACTGACATACGAGGAAATTCTGAATGGAATTGATAAATACATAAGATACTAAGTGGGATTAATAGGGTAGACAAGTCAGAAGTAATAGAGATAAACGACTTTAGAACTAGGGAATATAGATGAAACTAGAGACATTATACTGAAGCAAGTTTGGCATTAGACTAAAACAAGTTTGGCTTAAACAAGCTACTTGGAAATTACAATGAATGCTGTGTTACTTTAGACTTGTTATCATGTACCGGAAGATAAACTTTAAATATAAGCTTGGTGTTAACGCAGTCTGTTCACAACCTATTGGTCCCGAGCTTTTTTATAGTCAAGCCTTTTGGGCACACTTCCTCACACCTGAGGAAGTGTGAGGAAGGACACTTGAAACACTTGTGTGACTACACAAGGACACTTGAAGTATACAAGTGCGCTTGGAAGTTCACACGTGCACTTGGCAGTATTAAAGTGCACTTCTAAGTACAAAAGTGTATTTTGAAATAAGCTAACGATGTTTTGTTGTGCGTGTATGAGTATGTAATTAGTTTGATGAGATGGACATACAGTAGTACATAAGTTTAAGAATGCTGAGGAACTTGAACATGCACTAAGACAAGATTATAACCTGTACCGAGACATGATATTGAACTTGCACTAACATGTTATCTTAATCATGTGAAGGAAAATATTCCTAACTATGCACTTGGACATAATCACGACCATGTACTTGGACATAATCACGACCATGTACTTGGACATAATCATAACCATGTACTTGGACATAATCGTAACCATGTACTTGGACATAATCATAACCATGTACTTGGACATAATCACGACCATGTACTTGGACATAATCATAACCATGTACTTGGACATAACCAAAGATCATTATCCATTACATTAATTCATAACAGACCACAAGGATCAGTTATCAAAGCTATACTTTGAACTATCACCCTTTTGTTGCTGGCTCAACAGACTTCTAATAAAGCAAAAGTCTTGGTGGAAATATAAAGTCAGATTACTGGTGACGTTGTAAAACGTGGACTGGTTCTCACACACTCAGAACCTCCCCTCAACACACTCACAAAAAAGTCATACCCGTCTGGTTACTAAGTCTATAATTGGAGGTTGACCAGAGAACTTTCTGACTGACATTTCAAGATTATTAAAGATCATGCACGTGAATGTATTAATGATAGCACTCTGGTAATTGAGGCGTGGCGTGCAGTGACTGGGTTGTTGGGTAAGACGATGGTGAAAAAAGAGGATTGTAGGCTGGTTGAGTCATGTACAGTTATGGGGCGCAACTTGTGTTTGAATGTGTACTTTGGTATTGAATATTTTTGGTATATGCTTCTACCAAGTACAGGTGTGAGTGTGCACTGAGAGACGCGTTGTAACATGAAGAGACATGCGCACTGTAACATGAGATATGCGCACTGTAACATGCAGAGCCATGCACTTGAATATAACCCCTTGAGCGATTAGCTGAACTAAGCTTGGTTATACTTCCTGACGTATAATATGCCAGACACTTGAAAAGTCAACTCTATTACCGCCTTAATGATATATTTGAATTTCACTTATGATACACTTGGGCCTTCACTTAACCTTCATGAGCGCTCGAACATATTTTCACTCACAACACAAACTTTTTGACATCAAACATGAGTCAGGACTTCGTCAAGTGCTTGAGCGTTTTATTCGGAAATATTCCCTTCAAATATTTCAGGAAGGAACCGGTCGGGTACTGGGACGCAGTACTGGAGACTCCGGAGAGTCGCTCGTTAGACATTGAACTATGTTAGTATTGGCACTGCACCAGTACTTGTGTATACACGTTTCTATAAATACACACGGAAGTGCATAAAGGTGTAGAGGAACTAAGCCAAACTACTTCGCAGTACCCGATCATAAATACCATTGCATGAAAATATACGCTTGTGTATGCATTTCGATTATCAAGGTATACACCGTTTCGCGTATATATTTTCTAGAATAGAAAATAATAAAACAATTTGCCTGAAATATACACATGAATATGTATGGTCAAATGAAATTTAAAATGATCATGATTACTTTGGGTATTACATAAAGTAATCATCAAAGACGAAGAATCCCAGACACGTGGCGCGGACCATATTGACTCAAGCCGGCCAGGCGCTTTACTCTTCTGGTGGCCAAGAAATACTTAAGTGTACAGGCAGTAGAGGCCGCAAGAAGCTCTAGATCTAACCACGAGACGTCTTGAGCTGGGATTCAACTTCTGACTTTCCTTAAGGCAGTGAAATCTTTCGACCGGATCTGGATTAGTGAAAGTGACGCAAGAACGGCCAGTTTTTTGTTTTCCAATTTCTTCCAAGTTTTTATGCCGCTGTCATCGTTTCTGGACTTGCTTAATAAAGGGGATTATTGCGACTAAATAATGTTCACTTTACGGGTGGGTTGTTTCTCGGACCTGTCATATGCGCGTTCATCGCGTGATCCTGTCATATAATTACTGAGCGCACTACAGTTTGTACACAATATGTAGCCCGAAGCGTTTGTTTGTCGTATATTTACCAAGAGTTCTCCGTACAACAGTTTGTAACTGTGTTTAACGTTAAGAGGTGTGGCGGCACTTGTAGGGTAAAGCTTTTGATAGATACGAAAGAGGCCGCTCCAACTTCGAGTGTTGGGTCGTTGACCTCGGCAAGTATCCCTACGAGAGAACTACCGGAGGTGTCGTGTGGGGGTGTTCTATATACCACGACCTCAGTGTTGCAGGTATATACCCTCAAGCTCGCGACATTAGTGAGCAGGTATATACCTTCAAACACATGACTAATGTTGCAGGTATATACCTTCAAACACACAGGTCAGTGTTGCAGGTATATACCTTCAATTACATGACCGTCGTGGTGTTGCAGGTGTATACCTGGTCACATTATCATAATACTTAATTCGTGCGTCACCTGAGGCAGTAGTATTCCTAACACCTCGACCGCTCTACAAATGATGAAGACCCAGGTAGCGTCGGCTAAACGCTTGCGAGCTGAAATTTAAGAGCTGCGGGCCCACGTGCCCACCTCGCTAAAAAGCCCAACTAGCGAGGTTGTCGTGTCCTCAACGAGATCGCTAAGAGCTCCAATTTACGAGGTCGTCGTGTCCTCAACGAGATCGCTAAGAGCTCAGTTTACGAGGTCGTCGTGTCCTCAGCGAGATCGCTAAGAGCTCAATTTACGAGGTCGTCGTGTCCTCAGCGAGATCGCTAAGAGCTCCAACTTGCGAGGTCGTCGTGTCCTCAACGAGATCGCTAAGAGCTCAATTTACGAGGTCGTCGTGTCCTCAACCATATCGCTAAGAGCTCAGTTTACGAGGTCGTCGTGTCCTCAACGAGATCGCTAAGAGCTCAATTTACGAGGTCGTCGTGTCCTCAACGAGATCGCTAAGAGCTCCAACTTGCGAGGTCGTCGTGTCCTCAACCATATCGCTAAGAGCTCAGTTTACGAGGTCGTTGTGTCCTCAACCATATCGCTAAGAACCCTATCTTAATGACTTCAACAAGAGCTTTTGACTCCAAGTGACCGAAGATCTTTTTTAAAGAAAATGAATCTAGTTTTAGGCTTATAATAATTTATAAATTTCAATAATTTTAAAACGGTTAGGTGGTGATCTGAATATGAAACCGACCACTCTGCCCCGTACTGAACCCCGTTCACTAAAACTACCCAAAAATCTAAACGGTTCTATAACTTCAATTTTTTCCAGTGCTATGTAGTCCATGTAGCATATAAGGAGCGAAGTAGACATTGGTTGTAGAGCCCACACCCCCACACACACACTGAGAGAGACACTGGAGGCCACGCCACTCACCAAGAGCTGCATGGTGGGTTATGATGTTGGTAGTGTAACCGACCACGCCTTATATACCTCACTCTCTCCAGTTAGTCAAGCTGGTTCAGGCTCCCGCCCGGCCATTGGCTCCTCCCCGACCGAAGCACCCGGTTTCCTGCCCTGGCCAGGAAACTGGACTGTATCGTGACCCCGAGGCGCAATTACTCAATAGGCCGCTGGTCCTGCCTAGGTCATATTGACCAGAATGGTAGGCAGGATCACTGGGCAGTGTTATTAGCACCAGTGGTATGACCTCAGGTCATAGCGGTCACTATGCTTCCGAAAGTTTAGTAAGAATGGTGAAGTAGAAATATTAAGAGTTCCATGACTCGTGGTGTTTCTAAAGGTTACAGTGACTTGTATTTTTGCTCTCTATGATAGATTGTAGTAGATATTATTTAAATATTCTCCTATTTTATCTCATTATAAAAATTACACCATTTTATACTATCAGCTGTACTTACAACATTTAAATTCCCACTATTTTGAGAGAATATAAATTAATATAGGAATTTCATTAAATTTTTATATATCACAATAGTTGATGGAAATACTTGCAAGTAAACATCTAAGGACGTTCAGGTTGTGTTAAGAGTGAAGCATATATCTGACTTCCGGGGCCTCCGTCACTGCTCTCCTCCCTCCCAGCAACACCTCACTCTGCACTGTGTAACACCCTGATTGGGCTTCAATTGGAAGCCTCAGGACCCATAGAGAATTTAGTGGAATCCCAAGTTGCACAGCTTTTACCATGTCGTGGTGTAGCGGTTTTGGGTGTCTGCTTAGGAATACCAAGTAAGCGGGTTCGAATCTTCCTCATGGCTCCTAATATTATACTGTACACACACTGGTTATACAGACATCAGATACAGAGGCAATGCAGACAGCAGACACAGAAGTAATTCACTTAGATGTTAAAGAAAGTATTCTTCAGTGAGATCCCGTTCTTTACTGAATAGCATAATTAGTCTCCAAGTATACGAGTAAGTTTATTAAATCATCAAGAAAGACAATTAAGAGAACCAGTCCTTCTGTTTAGATAGTACTTACTGTAGCGATGTGGACCATCGTACATATATTGACGTAAGGCCGGGGGCATAACTACGAAATATGCAATAAATTAAAACTGGTTCAATTTCAATCAAACTTTTTGACAAGTTGTATATGAAAAGGGCTTCAACTGGTCCAAGTCTTAGCATCGTACCATAAATAGAAAGGGAGAAAAAATATTTAATTATGTGTCAAAAATTCTCCAAAATGTTAACAAATTAACATCAAACACAAGTGTCAACTGAAATCATGCCTATGACTCAGCTATCACAATAGCATATAACAATAAAAAAATAATAATTAGTTTTATAAAAAACAATTATCAAAAAAAAATCTCTTATTTTTTCTCATTTTTTTTATCGGGCGATTTGCATGAAACTTATACACCTGGCTGCACGTAAGCCTATCTATAAAGATGCCAATTTTGGAGAAAATTGGTTGATGTCAACCTCAGCCACAGGTGGCAGCACCTTAAACTTCATTTCTTTTCAAGTAACATAAAAGTGACTCTACTCTTTATTTTTTTTATTAAATTTACATGAAACTTACAACTTATATGTAGATTTTATGTCTCTACAATTTGTCCAAACATTTTATTCCTAAATTCATTTATTGATTTTATAAATATTTAAAACATGATATATTTGCATAAATTGTTTGGGAACTTTAACTATTTGTATTAGTAAAACTAAACATATTTTGGATAATCTGATTGGACAAATCCTTTATTATATGCTAATGTGATAGATGAGTGTCATAGAAATTATTTAATTGAAAACTTGTGGTTGTAGAGTAATTTTGAAAACGTTGAAAATTCGTTGATTTTTTTTCTCTCTCTCTATTTAGGCTGCGATACTGAAACTTGGAAAAGTTGCGGCCCTTTTCATGTACAACTAGTCAAAAACGTTTGGTTGACTTTGAACAACTTTTAATATCCCAAGTTATGCCTCCTGATGGACA